GACATCTTTGGCGCTGGAATTCGCCTCAATTCTGAACTCGAGTTCAAACGTCTATATCAATAGTTCGCTTAAATTCCCCGTAAAATCTGAAAATTATTTGTTTGACAATGTTTTGGACAAAATTGATTTGAAGACAATTTCCGTAGACAATACAAAATTGTTTGAATCGATGATAGCTTCCAACAAAAAGTGAGTTTAATAGATATAATAGATATTATTCTTAAGAGTACTGTACTAGGTATAACTCTTAATTCTGTATTTTTTATTAACTTTAACTTAAGTTGGAAAACCACTTCAGAAGAGGAAAGGGAGCAAACCATTAAAAAGTTTGTTTTCACGCATGAAAACACTCTTCCGACACCAGATTTTCAAGCATTGAATCGGAAAATTGTTGAAAACAAGGACAATAATGGCATTCAATTAACTATTACTAGTTATGAAGCCATCGGTTTAATCGTCGCTAAAATTAACGACAAATTTGATGGCAGAATATTTGCATTTATATTAGAGGCTCTCATTTCAGGCAATTCTGTAGTAGTTATTGGTTCGAAACAAATCCCAGAATTACTGACACTTAAGGAATATTTGCATTCCTCGGGGAAAGACATTTTCCAATTGATTGATGCGATTGACTACGAAATTGCTGATAACGCTGTCGTAACAGTTGGCAATAAATCTGTTGGTCTTTATTTGAAACAATTGGAGAATACGTCCCGAAAATCTTATCTGAAATTCTCGAAATCAATCTCATTATGTTTCGGTGATATAAGTTTTGGCAAATAATATTTGGCCATAAAATCTCAATTATTCTAAGTTTTACTCAATCAATAATTTAGCTGAAAATCTCAATAACTTTATTGAAATATTTTTTACAATAAATTTTATATAATAATTATAGACTAGAAATCATAATAATCTCAAAAATGTTTATCAAATCAAGTGATTATCTCAAGAGTAAACAATAAATGATTGTTTTGATGACAAAATTGTCGCATAATTACGGTATGACTTATCAGTGATAAGTGATCACTATTTGAATAGTGGTTAAAATGGAAATTATTTTAATAATCTGTTAAAATGAGTAAAAATATCAAATACTCCAAAAGAATAGATAATTAAAACAATTATATATTCTGTGAATCATTTGTAACGTTAGGTTCACTTTCCGTGGACTCGACGCTGGAATTGACAACAAATTCATTCAACAGAATATTCTTATCATTCTTAATGGCGGCGATTGTCTCCTCTAAAGACACCAATTCTTTAGACACTTTCCTGAGAGACGCCGAAACGTTTTGAACCATTTTCTGCGATTGGATTAATTGTTTGGTGATATTCCCGACCTCTTTGGTGGCCATGAGGTACGGCCCGCTCGCCAGCGCCGACAACTCCCTCTTCAGCTGTTCGTTCTTCTCTCCTATCAAGACATCACTTATTATAACAAATACTCATTCAATACATGGCTCGCAGTCAACACTCACTTAACTTCTTGTGAAGTAATCTGAGGTCAAGTGAAACAATCAAACAATTAATCACTTAATGGGTGACAGATGTCCACAACTAATGCACTAATGCTTACGAATTGTATTTATTTGAGTCACCAATGGATGAGTTGTCGTCCGAAAGGGTCGACCTCTGCGACTGACCTGTCATTCAAATAATCACTTTAAAAGTCTAATCACTTCCGCAAAACTCAATTCAATACTCATTTCGGAGATCTTGCGATGTCTTGAGACCGAGTGGTCGCCAAAACTCATCTGTCGTTCAATAGGTTCCTGGTATTCATCGTCTTCCTCGGACTCGGACGCCTCGCCGGGAGTTATGATAGCATTGAGGCTCACGTTTGGTCTCATGTCGTGATTGTGATGATCGACGCTGTGGTCAACTTCTTCGTCGTTTGTGGCACTCATTGTGCGCTCTCTTTGGCTCTCAAAGGATCCAAATGTTTGTTTACTAAGTGTTTGACAACTCAACTAAACTACAGTCATATCCCGCTATAAGTGACCCAAAGTTGACGATCACTACCCATAGGGTAACCTTGAGTCGAGTGACTCAACAGCTATTGATCTCATATTCAAAGTGATTGAAAGTGTTTCACAACTTATTTAAATGACTTCAATGTTAACTCATTTCTGTTTATTGCATATCTTTATAATCATCACAAACTGTATGAAGACTTCCTGCACTCCACCCCCTCTACTAAATTTATTCGCAAACAATGTGACACAATATTAGTGAATCATATACATAAGGGGTTTATGGTTTTATTTGGAAACACCCCCAGAACTGAACCAAAGGGGAGTGAAATGTTGTCTAAAATATAGCGACATTTAGTTTTGGTCGAAAACTTTTGGATGATTTAAAGGTCTAATCACAACAAACAAGTGATAAAAAGTGAATAGTTTTTGAGATAAGGATAACATAGAGTTGAATGCAATTTGCAGTTAATGTTAAATATTGTTATAATTGTTAAGCAATTGTTGATTAAATCAGACATTTTTGCATTCAATACATCACTCGCTGTCAACACATATTGACATCTTCCTGAGCGTCCATTGGATCCGCTCCACAACTGATCCATCTTTGAAACACTTGTCACTAAACAATGTTTAAGACAACTATTGGTGTAGTTTTTTGTCTCATTTTGCTGACAGAGGTTTGTATTAATGTC